AGACGGTGTTGTCTGATTTGTCACGGTTTGGAACGTGCCACAATCTCACTATTCGTACCTTCAAATTCCAACTCATCTTGTTACTCGATATATTGCTGATATAGTCAAATGCCGTCATATTTCTTCTTAGAGAAAATTTTATAAGAGGATTGTCTGTCAAATGCCTTCAAATGTCGTATATATATATTAAATATATACGGAAGACAAACCCTAAATAGTAATTAAGTACAAAAAAAATCAGTTACTATATATATATACGGAATGCAGTAATTTATTTGTATGAAAAAATAAATTTTCCATAAAAAGATCCGTAAAATAGAGACCTATGCATTTGGGATTCCCCATTTAGTTGCTATCCCGAAATATCTGGCTTAGATGTCGTCCTCTCTTAAATGACACATCTCTCCAGAATCCAGAGGCGAAAAAGATGAGAAAAAACGACCGGAAAAATCATCAGAATTTCTAAGAATGTCAAATTTGAATGCCTCCTCTTCTCCCTATGTATCCCAATCCAACAAAATTGCGGAACAGATTAAAAGGCTTAGGTTTAAGCTTTGAAATTCCCAATATTATGCGTTATTCGTATAGAGAAAATCAAAGAGACCAGCTTTAATGAGGAAGTATAACGACCCGACCGGTCGTTTTGAGCTCTTGCATCTTTGGTCGCCAGTTCTCGGGCATGACTTGCCCCGTGTGGTGTATTATGACTTATGTAAATCGTTGGTTTAGGTTTTCAAGGAAATCGGAACAAATTTGGAAGAACAATTCTCATTTTGTAGCTTGAAATTTGAAAGATTTGACCAAGATTTGACTTGTTTGTATATGATCTCGGATCGGAAATTTTATGATTTGATCAGCTCCGTTGGGTGATTTGGGACTTAGGAGCATGATCGGAATGCATTTTGGAAGTTCGTGGAAAGTTTAGGCTTGAATTGACGAAATTGAGATTTCGGTATTTTCCGGTTGATAGGCGAGATTTTGATATAGAGGTCAGAATGGAATTCCAAGAGTTGCAGTAGCTTCGTTGTGTTATTTGGGATGTGTGTGTGTAAAGTTTCAGTCATTCGGACGTGGTTTGGTTGAGTTTTTGATCAAAAGCGTATTTCAGAAGATTTTAGAACTTAGGCCTGAATCCGAGGTGTTTTGGTTGATTTGATATTGTTTGAAGTGTTTTGATGATTGGAACAAGTTCGAATAAGGTATTAGGATATGTTTGTGCTTTTGGTTGAGGTCCCGGGGGGCTCGGGGTGATTTCGGGTGCTTAACGGAGAAGTTAAATGTTGGTTGCAGCTACAGATTTGCTACTTCTGGTATTTTCGCATCTGCGGTTTGGGGACCGCAGATGCGGCGCCGCAGATGTGGGTGATTTATCGTAGAAGCGAAAAAGGGTTAGATAGGCAGAGACCGCAGAAGCGGTATGGTGACCGCATCTACAATGTCGCAGATGCGGGAGATTAGTCACATAAGCGACTTTGGTCCCTTAAGTGATTCCGCAGAAGCGGAGGTTTAGACCGCAAATGCGGTACCGCAGAAGAAGATCTTTGACCGCAGATGCGGAAAGGGCTGGACAGAGCATATATGTTATTTCATTCGCGAGTTTGGGTTATTCCACCATTTTTGACTTCGACCTTGGAGCTTTTGGGGTGATTCTGAAGAGGGAATCAAGAGACTTCGTTAAGGTAAGGCATTTCGGACCTAAAACACATTTCTATGGTGGTATTTCATGAATTTAGACTGAAATTAAAGGAATTTAAGGGCTAAAAATGGAGGATTAGGGCTTGAGTTTAAGAGGTCTTAGATTGAGGATTTGAGGGGTCATTTGAACTCCGATTTTGGTATTCTTGATATGTATAGACTCGTGGGGAGATAAGGAATCTAATGATGTAAAAATTTCTGAGTTTCAAGAAGTGGGCCCGGGGCTCGGGTTTTGCTAATTTCGGGATTTTATAGTATTCTTCAATTGTTTTCGCTTGGGCTTTGTTCCCTTGGTATATTGTGACGTATTCGTTCTGATTTTGGATAGATTCGACGTGCGTGGAGGCCGATTTGAGGGGCAAAGGCGTCGCGAGCTAGAGATTTAGCTGGTTCGAGGTGAGTAATGATTGTAAATGATACTCTGAGGGTTTGAAACCCCAGATTTGCACATCGTTGTGCTATATTGAGGTGAGACACACGCTTGATGACGAGCGTGGGATCGTGTACTATTGGGGAGTGTGACTTGGTCCTTCTCGATTGATGATTTTACCGCGTATTTGACTGAAAACTATTTGCTATCATCATTATTTGGGCTGAATGCCATATTTGGGCCTAGTGCCAGTTATTTGATCCCTTCGAGGATTTTTGTTGATATTTTCTCACTGTTTTGACTTTATACTTGAATTCAATCATGTATTTTTCCACTGTTTTCAAAACTCAGCCAAGTTCATTTTGCTTTAACACTTGAAATGATATTTTAAATAATATTTTGGGCTGAGGATCATGTTTTACTGTTGCCCGAGTGGCTTATGTGATTTTGACTGAGTAAGGCCGAGGGCCTGTATGGTGAGGATACTTTTGGATCGGGCTGCACGCCGCAGCGGTGAGATCTGATTTGATTATGAGGCCGAGGGCCTGAGATATGTACGCTACGAGGTGGCTTGTTGATATTGATATGAGGCCGATGTCCTATTTATGATGCCACGAGGTGGCTTTATATTGCGCTTGGGCCGTAAGGAGCCCCTCCCGGAGTCTGTACACCCCCAGTGAGCGTGGATACCTATTGTGATGTGAGATATAGCCAGAGGGGCTGATATTGTTCTATGTGATAGCCCGATGGGCTGGTATTGTTCTATGTGATTGCTCGAGGGCTGGTACCGTTCTATGTGATTGCCCGAGGGGCTGGTATTGTTCTGAGATATTTCCCGAGGGGCAGGGTTGTTGACATTGTGCCCGAGGGGCGAACCTTTATATGTTTATCTTTCATATTTACCTGTCATTCACCTGTTTAACTATGGTACTTGTGCCCGAGGGGCGGATTTCTGTGCTTATCTACACTAACTATTTTTGCATTCATTTGCGTAATTGTTAAAAAAAAGTCATTTTCAAAGAAGTTTAAATTGAGCTAAGATATTTTAAGAGATTTGTACATTTTCACTACTTTCTCCTTGGTTTTTGAACTGCTTCTATACAACATCTTGATATGCTTTACGTGATTTCTTACCATTCAGACTTTAGTTATGATTATTACTCATTGAGTTGGAGTACTCACTTTACTCCCTGCACCTTGTGTGCAGATTCATGTATTTATACACCCGGTAGCGGGTTTTGGCTGGTCGGAGGCAGAGTCATCAGAGTTTAGCAAGGTGGCTACCGGCGTTCGCAGTACTGCTTTTCTCTCTCTTCATTCATTAGTCTATATTTGTACACTTCAGACTTTCAGTTGTATTTACACCCTAGCAGATGCTCGTGACTTGTGACACCCGGTTTGGGCTGTGCCGGGTTGGATTGTTCCGCACTGTTACTGATATTTCCGCTATTCAGTATTATTAAATTATGTTTAGACTATTTTTGTGTTGATTAACTGCTTAAAAAGATGAATTGGGTTAAACTGGCTGGCCTTGTCTTCATGAGAGACGCCATCGCAACCGGAATTGGGGTTAGACAAGAAGCGAAGAAAATGGGATACGCGTTAATGAGGAAGCGAAGAAAATGGGATAAGCGAAGAAATATGCTGTATGTGTTATTTTGGAGGGTGTGACTCAATTTTTGTTATAAATGGGATTCCTCGTTTAGATTGGTATCCCGAAATTTACTCATACGTTTATTTAGTAATATTTTATTATTAAATATAGTAATTTTACACAATAGAGGCCTATACATTTGGGATTTAAAACTTAGTTGATTGGCCAAAAAATCTGGCTGTTACAACTTGCATTTTAATAAAATTAAGTTTTAATAAATTAAGTTGCCATGTGTAATTTTAATAGGTTGCCACTTGGATTTCTAATAACTTGCCACTTGGCTAAATGAGAAGGCAAACTTTTTTGCTTTAATATATATAGAGATATAAATTGTAAATATTTATTTGCACTTGATATTCACGTCAAATCAACATATGCATGACATATGTCTGTACACAGATTTCTCTCATTTAATTATGCTTAATTAATATACTAAAAAAGGACTAAATTACTCATGCATATACGCCTAGGGACACTTTTGCCATTCGTTAATAATTAATGTACGAAAGATGGCCAAAACTACCAATGTACTATCTGCATATGGAAACTTTTGCCATTCGTTAATATTTGGGTATTTCCCCCCCCTGTCGTTACGAAACTGGGGAGAAATATTAATTGTCAATATTTATTTTGTGGTTTTAATATGCACAAATTAAGGTTTAAAATGGACCCCTTAGTGAAAAGAGAAAATATTAATTAGAATTTTCTATTGAGAACAAAAGGAAATATTTTGCAAACTTTTGAGGGGTAATTTGGACCTATTTCATATTTAGTTTTAATTTTTTAATGGTTCCGTTAGTGAAAAAGGACAAAAGTGAACCTTTGGCATATCACAAGTGCAAATATGTGCCAGCTTTGTAAACGTGTCCATAGACGAATAGTAAATAGGCAATTTTGGTCCTTTTTTTTATTAATATATATGATTTTTGATATCATTGAATTACTTATCATGAAATTAATATAGTTTGTTACAAATGTGACATACAAAACAGAAGAACTTATATATCATGGAATTATTTTTACCTTGTTTTGAAAGAATAGAACTATAGAAGGAAATTGAAGTTTTTACCGGCATAGTAGTGTTAAATTATTTATGGAGGATCAATAAGACCTTCTAAGGTAAAGTTCTAAAAGTTCCAAAGAACAAAATTAAACGCAAAAGGCATAGTTATTACCAAAAGGGCCTTAAATCAACAATAAAAACACAAACCCAGATATCCACGTTAACTTTCTTGGCTTTTCCGCTTTACGGTGAAGAATAGAGTAATAAAGAAATTGCCGAATAAAGAATCCTGTACCTCGTGCATTAGCACTTGTACATATTAAACCAGTACATAAAAACGTGGACGAAGCTCTTTTCTTTTTCACCTCTCTTCCCAGTCCACCACCATACACCAACGCCACCGTCGCCGGCGAGCTCACTCTTTAGCTTTGAATAGTCAATGCCTGCTCAAAAGCGTTCGTACGACACTCCTCCTACTCCTCCTCCGCTACCGGACGAAAAAAACGATGATTCGTTACAAGGTAATCAAAATCACGACGAAGAAGCCTACGACAGCGACGGTACGTGTATACATAGGGGTGCTTTGTATATAATTATCTGTAGATTCGTATGTTTACATTTTATTTGTATATGCAAACAATTTTCAGCAGTGACTCGAGTTTCACTCAGCATATCATGATATTTTTGTGATATTTTGCTCTGTGTTTTGACTTTCAGATTCGGATGGAACTACTTGTTCGAGCGGCGGCGAGAAAGATGAGTAATGCACTCTTTCTCTTTCATTTTTTCATTTGTATATGTTTTGGTGGAATAATGCATTTTATATATACGTAAGCGCGATACGTATACGATTATTTCCCGTTGCAGTTTTGAATTCAATGATGTGATTTGGTGGTTTAAGGACCTTGTGTAATGTTAGAGATGGCGTATAGTTTGAGATCTACTAGTTTTGTTTTGTAATTCAGTTTGTAATTTTGCTTCTTATGGACATTGCTATAAGGAGCTCTGTAGCTTCTTCTTCCCATTGGCTTATTTTTTTGTTTTTGTTTGGAGGTTGGAGAGTGATTGATAGTATTTGTTTGAAAATGGTCAGGAAATTTGAATTTTGATCAGCTTTATTTTATACATAATATTGTTTGCTTGCATGTGGCATGTCTAGATGCAGTTGGAAGCTATAATTTGCTAGGGTAAATCAAGTTTGGTTGGATATGATTATAAGAAATCCTGCTGCTTGAGTTATTTGAAGATATTGTAGGTTTCAGTCATGAACTTGTGTGAATTAGATTGTGCGAACTCAAATTCTTTGATCTGTTTTGCATAAATCTAGAATACTCCACTCATCTTGTCCTGATTCCATCTGTAACCTGCCATTTCACAAAATGCTCCTACACATCTCCTGAATCATTAATCTGCTCTCCTTAAATCACATCTTTGTGAAAGCATTTGCGTTGTGAGATACATGAACTCAGAAAATATAGACTCCTTCCATGAGCAGATTATTGACTGGATCCAAAATGGTGTTTTCTTTTGACCCAAGCGATTAATATCTTGTCATGGTTAAATAGACAGAAATCACTTCCGGATCGTAAACATCCTCTTGGATCTGGAACCATTCCATGATAGAATTAGAATTGACTCCATTTCTTTGAGCAAAACCAAGGGTCCAGCTTTAGCAAAAGATATGGTGTTCATTACCTTCTTCTACGCATCCCTGTCTAGGATTGTTAGCATAAATACCAAAATTGTTCCTTAAACTAGAAATTTTGTTATTCCAATAAGTATGCTTTGACCAAGTTGTTTTGTTCTTGAATCTTGATAAATTTTGGGACTTCCAGCTCATCAAAATTATATAATAATGAATCCTGAAAATGTAGTTTAATTTTATCTCCACCCCCTCTCCCCCCCACCCGACATTTGTTTTTGTTTTTTTTGTTAAGTTTATTTCATCTTATCTTTTAAAGCTGCCTGCTTAACAATTATACTCTGTACGTGTATTTAGCTAATGTAGAGAAAAATCTATTCATGTCCCTATTTTTCTTTACGATTTTCATATTATGTACTTTTCCAAAAAAAAAGTGCATGTTTCCTTTACAAATTATTTTTCAATTTGAAAATTGTGGCAAATATTACTAGTCTTTATGCAGAAAAATTGCACTGCACTTATTACTAGTCTTATAGAATTTCATTTGAATTCTAATTAAAATAAATGTTTTGATGACTATAGTACTTGGTCCTCCTTGATCTGGTGATGGATGTGTAATTTTGTATGGGTCATGCAGTTGGCTTCCTAATAATTCTTCAAAAATAGCTAATTGTGTTGCGAATACTTGTGCTTTCTGGAACTTGTGCCTTTTACAGAGAGTTAGAGTAACAACTTCAGGAACTAAGATTCGAATCTCAGCAGAGGCGACACTAGGTGAATTCCTTCCATGGGTAGAGTTACCCAAGCGATCGGGTGGATTAGTTGTGGTGCTTGCAAGTTGGCATGTATACCACCATTATAAAAAATACATAAATAGAAAAATAAAATTGTGATTTCTGGAAAATGTGCAGTTTACAAAGAGAACAAGCATATGATACTTCTTACACATCTATGGAACGCAAAGTTAAAGTTGGTTCCCCTAGTTGATATTAAGTATTGAGCCCATGAAATATTTTTATTCGCCAACCTGGCTTTGGTAGGAAAGGAAAGGAAGCAACAACATGTCTTTTGTGTCTGGTGAAGGAAAGTGCTGAATGAGATGTAATTGCTTTGGTTACTTTTAGTGTTTTTATTTGGTGACCTTAAAATTTCCTATTTTTCTTTCTGGCAACTTGCTCACTTAAGCATTTCAACTGTTTCTTCAACTTGGGCTTTGGACATTTGGCTGGTGACTGTGAAGAAGTTTTGTTGCTGCTACTTAATACTTATCAATAAAAAATCTTGTAGTTGCTGCACTTATATTAAGTTGAAGCAAATTGGTTATGGGCCAAGCACCTTAAGTTTCAATGCTTAGGATTTTCCTATGACTTTGACAAGATAAATATAATTTGACATGATAGTGCAGGCAGGGGCGTACCTGGGGGTGGGGGAGGGTTCCATGGGGCACGTGAACCCATGCTCCCTTCCCTAAATCATGTATGGTAAATATATGTGTGTGCACCCATGGTCAAAGTATTATATAATGTGATGATTATTTTGTGTATCTCTCAAAGTGAGGTTGTGAGTTCAAATCTTATATCTATATTGTTATTTTTCTCTCTCTTTTTTTCTAGCACTAGACGCCCACGTGAGATGAGCGTGTGTGGTGTCACTTTTTGCGTATTAATTAAGTACTTTTCTTTTTATATCTTTTTTTTGGTTTATTCTTTCAAAATTTTCAAATATTGAGTTTTCTATTCTTTTTTTGTCACTATAAAATCTTATATGATTAAACAAGATATGTATATTATAACTAGTAGCAGTGTATAATGTAACATATAGTCAATGAGTTCAATTGATCCTAATATTTTCAATATTGAAAATAGATATAGATGTAAGAAAATTACTATTTAAAAAAAATTATTTTTGAACTTGTAATTCCAAAAGTGTAATGGGTGCGCAACAGTAAGAATTAAAGGTTGAACCCGTAAAATTTATATCCTGGATCCACCTCTTCTTAATAGTGCACTCATCCTGCCAAAATCCTGAGTCCGCCTCTGACAGGCACATCTCAGTTTTGTCCTTGTGTGAATTTGGTAGTAAGCAAAGTTGCTTATAGAAGCATGCAACAATACCTTTTCAACTAGCTCCTTATTAAGTTACGACCTCGAGTTTTACATGATATCTGATTTAAAGAATGATAGTGGGAGACAGACTTGTGGATTTTCTCCGAAGGGAGGTATAAATACTTCTCTATATGTTGTTTTATTCAACTAAAAATCATTACTTCCCCTTCTTTCCAGCTTGAGAGAGGTTGCAAAGTCCAGGTGGTACCTTGTTCCCCTTACTTAACCATTGTTTACTACAATAAAAGTAGTGCACATGATGCTTCTTTTACTTTCTCACCTTCTACTGTTCCTCCTTTTGCAACCTAACATATAATTCAATAATATAAGCATTGTAAACAACCGAAAATATTGGGAATAGGATGCACAACCAACAATACTGCAGAGAATGCGCATATCAGGAAATGTTTTTTGTCAATATCAAAGGTAGACTGACTTTTGATAGAAAATAGCCAGATGAATCTCATAACAAAATGGCTCAACAATTTTTGTTGAGTCAGTCCCTTCTAAGAGTATTCTTGTCAACCTAGGTTAGCGCTAAAGCCCTGTTTAGACAGCTTTTTTGGAAATGTTTGGAGATTTTTTTTTAAAATTCCGTGTAAAAGAAAAAAACAATTATGATAGCTGTTGTCTAAAAAGTTTTCTTCTGACGCAAAGCATTCTTTAGGAAAGTGTCTCAAGGCTATTCTTAAATGCTAGAATATTCTTCCAACAACTGATCAGACAAATACATTGTGAAGTTCTCCAAAGTGGCTAAGTGGTGTCTCGTTAACTTGTAAATACATTCTTTTGGAGAACAAATGAAGAAGAATGTTGCGGTCTTTTCTATTAAAGGAAGTGTACATAATCTTCTGTACCCCATAATATAAACTGTGTATTTGAATAAGCGCGAGTAAGTTTGTTCTTATACAAATGACTTACAACCAAAGATAATAGGGGGGCTGGTAATAGTACATCAACGTGGTGTGGATGTGGGGGATGCACTCTAATAGAAATAGGAAAGAGCTTTTCAGTTATGGTCTTGCTCTATGTTTTACTACCACAAACATGCCCTCAAATACTTAAAAGAGAGGCGATTCGATTCGAGTCTGTTAGTGAAGACCTTAGATGTTTCATTCAAGATAAAGAAGTTTTAAAAAGCATAAAAATATTAAGCCAACTGGAAGAGAATGGAAACAATTTACTGCTCTGAGAAAGATAGACAGGTAGAAGATTGATAAGGTGTGATTACAAGCAAATTCAAGTGCTTTCTTGTTATGCTACAAAAGGAATTAAACCTTTTAGTAGGTGTAGGTAATTGTTTCCATTTGGTACATTATGGTTAATGCAAAAGAAGAAGGTATTGCTCCAATAGATCCATACCATAATTTAAAGATTACGCATTTAGCATCTAGGATTGATACATCTGTTTAATACATCAATTAAGCACAGCTTTTTGGATTGATGATCTATGTACCTAAACTAGTTGGAAAAGGCAACACATTAGTCTAGGTTTTGGCTTAACTGACTGTAGTTACATGTGCATACAGATATCCAGGCTAAACCTAGTTCTGGTCATATTTTCTTCATGTTACCTATCAAAACAGTGTATGTTCTGGTAAAATTTTACTTTCAGTATATAAGATTTTTACTTGGTTTCTAATTTTGTTTGACATCATTGTCTTGTAACGGTGTATATCGGAATATATAGCGGCCGGAATTAACCTTTTTTTCTTTTTGAGAATTTTCTTGATAAGTAAAATCCTTTTCCTTTCAAGAATTAAATAATTTGACGCTGATATTATTGAGTTTGCAAAGGTTTTGCTGGTAGAAGATTCTGTTATATTGTAGATTTATCTTTTAAGCATATCATATGTCTTATTGTTCTGACTACTTGACTATGTTTAGTTGTATTTGGTTGGGGATCCATATAAGTTGAAGCCCACATGAGCAACAGATTGTTGAAAAGACAAGGTGGTAATATTAAAATTTGATATAAACATTGGTGTTCTTTTGTCCTCTTTGGCAGTATATTATTTAGCACTCAACTGTTATATTATTAATATATGATAGTTTGCAGAGCCATCTAAGTAATAAATACTAAGACTAATATTTTCTTTGGCACCTGCACGCTGCACCTGACCTTTCCTTCTCTTCTGCTGCCGTCATTTTATACCATCTTTCCAATGAATATGTTATTGCTTTGCACTCTTTGTTTATCTTATAGTGAACTATTGTTAATTCGGAAATTGTTTGATTATTAAGTTATTGGAATATGGGGTATCCTGGATTTTGCTTATTGTGTTTACTTTTGGTTGCTTGCAGATTTATCACTGTGAGACTTTCAGAAATTCGCAAAGAAGTACAGTGCCCTATATGTTTAGGTCTGGTTCTTTGCTCTTTCTTGATTGCTTTTTTATTATTATTAGAATTGGATATACCTGGAGAGTATTGCATAGGCAAGATGTGTTTATGGTCGTACCACCTTATTAAATACTGCATTTCAAAGAACCGTAAAAAATTGCATGTCAGGATATGTAGTTTTTGGAAGTCATGATGCACATAAATATGCTGCCTTCATTGTCCTTTGCATATGGTAGAGGTTGGGAGAGGGAGAATGTGAAGCTCTCATCTATAGTTGTGTGTAAATGTTATGATAGTTCCCCCCGGGATTACTGATGAATTCCTTTAAGCCCGATATGAGATTCTAAGAAAAGATCACACTCAGCTGTTATACTTATTTTTCTATCTCTAAAAGCTTAAAACTATCTCTAAGTTATTTTTTCATGCAGTTTCTAGATTTTGTTTAGTGAAATGACAAACATGGCTCATTGAAACTGGGAATCTGAGGACAGCTATGTTAAAAAATCCTTTTTCTCTATCCAATTTTTGAAAGGCAGTATCAATAAAATGGAGATTTTGGTCGGAAGCAAGGAGTTAACCTACCTTCCTTTTATGTACCTAATAAAACAGCATTTCCAGCTCTATATTATCAAGTAAATGTTTCTCTATTAACCCAATTTGCAGTCTCTGCTTCAGCTCTGCAAGAAACTTTGCTAATTGGGGCTTCTCTTTCCTGTTAGGAACTGATATATGTGAAATTTTTTTTAAGTTGCCTACATAAATTTTCCTGTCGTTCATATTATGATTTGGATCCACTATGTGGATACTGGATCTGGTACATGCTTCTTCCTGTTGATTGAGGAACACATACTTTTAATGGCAGATCCATCAGGGGAAAGATATCACTTATCTGAGAAAACAACGTTAACACATATTCACTAAGAAAAGGAGAGCTACATTAGTTCCTGATTGTCTAATAGAGGAGCTATTTTAACTATGATTCAAGCTATATGGGGGGATCTCTTATAGAACATAGTGATAAATCTCTGTTTCTGTAATGTATGCCTACTGCCTACTGTCACTTACCGGTTTACCACTGTGACATGGGCAGGCATTATTCGAAAGACCAGAACAGTTATGGAATGCTTGCATCGCTTTTGTAGAGAATGCATTGACAAATCTATGCGAATGGGGTACCTGCTAAACTTATCTTTCATTAGTTAAGAAGTAACCTGCATTTGTTTATCCAGTTCAACATGTCAATTATATTTTAGGAACAATGAGTGTCCTGCTTGTCGTACCCACTGTGCTAGTCGCCGTTCTCTGAGAGATGATCCAAACTATGATGCTCTAATTTCCCTTCTATATCCAGATATTGATAAATATGAAGAGGAGGTACTACTATTAAACTCTTGTATGTCTCATGGAAAAGGTCTACCATTGACCTGTTTCAGGCCATGTACTTACTCTTTTGTGTATCACTCAGGAATTGGCTTTTCATGAAGAGGAGAAAGCTCGGAATAAGCAGGTAAGCTAATGCCAAGTTCAGCGTCAGAGCTGTATTCCATGTAGATTATCGACTTCAACAGCAGATCTTCTTCGTTCTTGTAAAATTGTCAGATACGCCCTCGTAATGGAGGTGTGGTTGATTCCACGTGCTATGTCAAAGAGAAGTGTACATTTCTCTTAATATATATTGGTGGGGTTATATCTATTGCAATGTTGAATTTGGGTGAAGTGTATCCTCTGCTGTAGGGGACTTTAGGTTATTGCAATGTGGACCATTAGGTATTTCCTATTTTTTGAAACACATTGATCTGAATCACCACCTGAATGCCTGCATTGCAGCCAACCGAATCACATGCCTACTCGAGTTTGCTTTTCTTTTTGCACCAATTCATAGTTTTCATACTCTTTGAACAGATACAAGCTTCAATTGCACAGACATTACGGCGACAATCAGAAGCACTGGGAAGGAAACGGACTGCTAGAGCTACAGCAGCAGCTTTTGCGAGGAGATCTCAGGGACGCTATCGAAGTTTAAGGGGAAGAAGAAATTTTCAGGGTGCTGAACACCAGATATCTGATGAGGAGGAAGATGGTAATCATGATATTGGCAAAGATTCTTCCTCTGCTGATGATCGCTCGATAGAAGTCAAACCAAAACGGTACAAAAAGAGGGGAGGAAGGCCTTCGCAGGCTTCAGCAGCTAGTGACGAAAATGATGCAGAAATAAACCAAGAATCACTTGGCGCATGTAGTGGACTTATTCGCTGTTCAGAGATTCTTGCCTGGGGAAAAGGTGGCATGCGAAGTAACACGAGACATGGGGGTCTTGGGGGAGGCACTGGCAAATTTTCCAGGAATAGCCGAGTCTCAAAGCTAATTGATCGTCTTTCTTGTTCAGATGAAAATGAAGGGAAGGTACAGCAAATCAATCCTATGTACCTATTGGATGCTATACTTTTAAATATTTCCTGTCTGTGGTTGAGCCTGAAAGATATTGTTTTCTGAATAGTTTTGTACATTTGAGATGATCTAATACTCCCTCCGTTCCTTTTTACTAGTCCTCTATTGACTAGGCACACTCCTTATGAAATCATTTATTAAGGGTTTATTTTACTTAATTACCCTTGTTAATGGTTATTAAAGTTGTAACTAGGAGTGTGGGTACTTAATACTAAGGGTAATATTGAAGAAAATAATAATTTTCTCTTGATTTGCTAAAATAGACAAGTAGAAGGGAAAGGGACTAGTAAAAGGGAACGGAGGAAGTATACACTATCGCTATTTGCTTGTTGCTTTCTATGACTGAGGTGATATAGATGGATTTTTTTGGTTTTGCCATGGATCTAAAAGGAAATATTTTGTTTTCTTTCAGTTGGATGTCAGACTGAAGCTTGTTCCCATATCTGAAGAGGATATACCAAGTTTGCAACGACCTTACCTTTGCTGCCGGCCCACTATGGAAGTTAAACATTTGAGCCAAGTAAGTGTACCACCATCAACCTTTTTCACACTTTACAAACCTAAATCATTACCAGACAAATTTATGTCTGCATGCTTCATTTGAATGTATACTCTATGCAGTATGTAGCACAGCAAACGTCCATAGAAGTCGGCAAAATCGACATAGTGCTGATAAAAGAGCTTAACCCCAGTGACAACTCTTCAAGTTCTGATATCATGGCTATTTCCACACTCGTTGGAGATCCTTGTAAGATTGAAATCCATACGGTAAACGAGCATCAGACATTAGGGGAAATCCAAGAGATGTGTGGTTTTAGCCAGCGTAATCTGGTAAGCTCCCTGTAAGACAACGTAAACAATTCCAGAAACATGTCGACAATTTTTTCTTCCTTTGGGGCAACTATTTTCATTACCAAAATGAAAGAATTACAGCTGAAAAAGACAACACTGGTCTAAAATTGGACATGAAGCCCCAACTTTAGACAATCTTATATTTGATAGTCATATAGCTGCGTTATAGTATTGTGCTCCTCTAGTCAACACACACTGTTCCTGAAAGATTCCACAATATTCCATTGATACTCTTCTTCTTAGCTTTATCTTGAGTATACTAATTCACGTGCTGTCTTTCAGATCTTAGCATACGGATGCAAGTCAAAGGATAGGACAGACCATGATGAAGGGAAGGTGACCGTGTAATTTGAATATACACAGAATATAATACCCGAAAATCCGTATCTGTAATTTCAACTGGGGCGTATCTGTAAATCCGTATAGAAAGTAAGTAGCTTAGTAAGGTGTATCATACACAGATGTAGTTCATTATCCAGGAAATAATCCCTTCAACTACATCGAGTCAGTTATGCACCTTGAAGTTCACATTAGTGTAACGATTTATTTACCTCTTTATGCACTCGTTTCATGTACTGTGCTCCAAGTGCTTAAATATAGCCTTAACTAGCCAAGATTTTGCCTTGGTGCTTCAATTTTTAAGATTAGATTGGTGCTACTTCCTACTTGTGTCACATTTGACTAATCGCGACCATATTGTTCTTTTGTTGGTTATAGACTTATAACAATCATAAAGAGGACTTGAACCTTTCCTTTGCAACTAGTATATGAATTACCCTTAGCTTGTCTCTTGCTTAAAGGCATTACAATCCAAAAAAGTCTGCTGATTTATTTCTAAAAGTCTATTCGCGTCTCATGCTTTGCTAGGAAGGTGCTTATTGAGTTTTGCGTCTCTACCTTGTTTTACCCAAAACACTCTCATTTTAGGAAAACCTTGGGCCATACAACACATCCATCTCGTGTACGTAGGAGATGATGCCTTATTGAGTTTTGCGTCTCTACCTTGTTTTACCCAAAACACTCTCATTTTAGGAAAACCTTGGGCCATACAACACATCCATCTCGTGTACGTAGGAGATGATGCCTTATTGAGTTTTGCGTCTCTACCTTGTTTTACCCAAAACACTCTCATTTTAGGAAAACCTTGGGCCATACAACACATCCATCTCGTGTACGTAGGAGATGATGCCTTATTGAGTTTTGCGTCTCTACCTTGTTTTACCCAAAACACTCTCATTTTAGGAAAACCTTGGGCCATACAACACATCCATCTCGTGTACGTAGGAGATGATGATCTAATGTCGACGTAGATCAGCCAGTTTTCTCTTTCCTTTTATAACCTTTGGGAAAGGGAAAGGAAACCATTTTAGAGTTCTTTCCTATCCTCTTGTGAAAACGAGAGTATGGTAGATCTTAACAAAATTGTTCTTCCTTTACTGTTTTACTCGGGTTGCAGGAACAAATATCTCGAACCTTATTCTTTGACAGTGAAATCTCCATTCTTTTTCAACTGTGACACTTCTTAACAACTGACTCCCCCCATAAGTGATTTTTTAGCTTTTGACACGCTCTTTAAGAAAATGCAAATTCCAAAAAGAAAAAATAAGGATAAATTTTAGAAAAATAAAATTAAGTCTTTCTTGATTATGTAAAATGATACTTGTTTTAGATAAAAATAAAAAGTCCAAAAGATCATTATGGACACGAAGGAGTAACATTATTTGACAATTCAATCTCCTACTTTTCCAATGCTTCAGCTCACGTGACATTCAACAGGCCCGCATACCTTATTACTGCCGAGAGTGGACAATGGGCCCGTGCCAAGTTTCATAAGAATAATTGTTACTCCAATTGAAAACAGATAAACACGAACTTGCAAAACGATAATTACGCTTGACCATATAATAACAAAACAAAAACATCACAATATTCATAACAGATCTTTAATACACAAAACAAACATCAAAACAGTGGTCTACCACAAACATACAGTAGTATCAGCAGCGGCATTTGGATGGCCCTTAAAGCTCAAGTTAGCTTGCAAAACCTAACTAAAACATACTATAGTAGTTGCTTAATACCCAACAGAAATTCATATAATACGAAATAAAGATAAAAGTCCAGTGATCCATGCTTCATTAGCGAAGCAACTAGCAGGAAAAAACACTATTTACATAGGTTTCAACTTGTTGCCACCCAAAAACTCTCAGCACTTCTCGTGATGCTTAGATCTGGTGTTCCCATTGTAGAGCCTGCCATTAAAAATATAAGAGTTAAGTACTCCAAACTGACGGTGTAAATTAAAAAAACTTAAAAAACTTCAGATATATATATGTGTGAGAGAGAGATCTGAGTCATGTAACATACCAGTCATAAACAGTGGGAGCGTTAGGGTGAGAGGGCTTGTCAAAGACTTGAGCACCAATTCTCTTGGTGGCAATATTGCTTCCTGGGTGAAAAACACTCCTCCATACGTTTTCTTTACTTGCCGTCGGTGACGGAGTTGTTGGTGTCGCCGGAGTTCCTGGCGTCGGCGGACTGGCCGGCATCGAGAGAGACCTCTGGTATTTGCTAGATCCTTCTCCAGATTCCCCACCTGCTCCATATTCCATAAACAAAACATCACATAAAGCAAGAAAACAACAAACGAAAACTTTATATATCCAAAACATATTGCATGGCAGCATCTATTTTAATATCCTTTAAAACATATCAATATGAAAATTAAGAATTTTAATTAAGTCAGTGGATCTGTGATTCTGTTTGTATATGTACTTCTAGTTTTTCTTTAATTAAATATTTATGAGGATCAATTGGAATTCAACGGAACTCACTGCCAGTATATATATTATAGGTCCGCCTCTGGTTCAAACAGAGTTTTCAATTTAACAAAAGGATTTACATATAGGAGTATATGCTTTTGAGAATTATATATATGAGTACCAGTTTGAACAGTGAGGCTTTTTCGGAGCTTGCCAAGGCCATTATCAGGTTGAGGTCCAGCCATAACATCATCCCATAATTTATCAATCAACACCATCTTCTCTCTGATCTCTCTCTTACTTCACTATTCTTTGATCTTCTGTAGTCAGACTTGAATTTTTCTAAGTCTGTGGTGTAAATGCTAAATGTTGCGTGCTCCAATATATAGACACTCAAAAATATCTCCTATTCAAATCTCTAACTACAGTTTTATCTTTTTTCTATTTTTATTTTCCATAGATTAATTGTACTACTTACAAGTGTTAAAATTGGAAGGTAGGAAATACGAAGCGGTAAATTTAATCAACAGTACCACAATCAATATGGCTGTCTTTTTCTATCCGTACGTAGTAACTTTGTGCTTGTATGACTAAGTTCTACAGTTGAGAACGCCCCCCGTTTCCGAATAGTTAGTACTAAAAGTTTTATTTCAAAAAATATTTTGTTATAGTATTTTATTTCCATATTTTAGTGTGTTTTAGCTAGCTATTGTAAAAAAAATTGGAAGTGGATATTGGAAGCTAAAGGTGGATAAGGATGAAGACTAAGCAAAAATGTGGGACCAAGGAGGCTGAGCAGGTTATGGGTTGCTATCCAAGTGTCCGATTATTTAAATTATATATATTGTCGTATTCTTCTGGTTATAAAAAGAAAAAGAAAAAAAATAAGACGTGGGGCCACCATGATGGGATTAATTTTGGTCTTACAACAATGAGATATTTTGTATCATTATTGGTTTGGTTTTGGGATCATATTCTATGAACAAGGTACACACATCATCATGTTGCGATTTTCACTGACGTTGGTAATTTGATTCGGGTAATATTATCAACTTTCTAACAATCAAGATTTTAATAGTTCTCTCAGGAAGAATTATTTAAGCTAATTAATTCTTCGGTTGTCCTAATTTGTATCTCATTTTTTCTATACTCTTTAATTCTCAAAATGTTTGACCTCAATTTACTAATAATAATATTTTATATAATTCTCACAGATGCTGGAATTCAGATATTTTTTTGTTTTATGTTCGATATTATCGAATTTGATAGTCATTGAATATGTTAAACTCGGGTTACAATCAATTGGTGTCACATAAGCAAGAGGAACGAGGTATTATTGGAAAAATAAAACTGTATAGTTGTTCACAAAATAATAATATATATATATATATATATATATATATATATATATATATATATATATATATAATAATATGTCAAA